TGTGGCTTTGGAGCCTGTCCTGGAACTAGCTCTTGTAGACCAGGCTGGTCTCAAACTCACAAAGATCCGCCTGTCTCTGCCTCCCGAGTGCTGGGATTAAAGGCGTGCGCCACCACTGCCCGGCTATGGCACACTTTTAGTACTTCTTCCATTTGACACCGTAGTGTTTCTTCTGACCTCAAAGTCTGACAGGAATTCCCTGTCCCCCGGGAGGTCATCTCTATGTCTAACTTAAAACCAATCTCTGCTGCACACTTTTGATGCTTTCTTGTGCTTGTTGGGGTTGTAATTTTATCTCTGTGGGATTATCTTCTTGCCGTTTTCCTTAGTAGACTCCAGATTTCTTGCTGTAGCTATCTGAACACCTGATATACAGCACATGCTACAGCGTAGTGCCGGTGAGCGTGTGATAGAGAGAGATGGTGGTCCTGTAGGTAAGACAGGCAGACTGGGGTGAGTGAGCGGCGATGCCCCATGACTGCTGCCGCTGCTCAGAATAAGGAAAGGGAGAGTAAGCAGACTGGTCTGGCCTGCTGGGCCAGGAAGGGGTGCTGCAGATTATAATAAACTAGTCCCAGACTAACCCAGAATGGAGTAAAATAAAGGTTTCTTTACTTAGGGGTAGACTCACAGATCAGCAGTCCTGTGTGAACAGGGAACTGGAACCAAATCCAGCAGCCAAGGGCCCGCATATGCTTTCACATCTGTATATATAGCACATGGGACCACGCCCAAAGTGGGCCAGTATCTTAGTAGGCTAATGGCTAAAGGAGTTCCTGCAACAAAGGAATAAATACCCTAGAAATGTGGCTTTGTACTTACCTTCTGCTTGTGGAGAAACATAATCCAAACCACTGAAAATCCTGCCATAGCAAAGGTCCTACCTCTCTCATCCCTCTCTAACACCCATTTCTATCTTGCAATTTAATACAGGTGAAAAATATAAATTTTTATGATGTGGTTCTGGATTTTATTTTAATGGATTCCTTTGAAGATTTAGAAAACCCACCAACATCCATACAGAATGTAGTGAACAATCGCTGGCTCAACTCCTCCTTCAAAGAAACTGTGAGTGGTGTTTACTTTCCCCGCCGTTCCAGCATGATGGGAAATGGTCAGGGATGGCAGGTTAGTGAAGAGTTACGTAGAGGTCATCCCAGCACTCAGGAAGCAGAAGTAGGTGGATCTCTATGAGTTCCAGACCAGTCAGAACTACACAGACAGACCCTGTCTCAGAGAGAGAGAGAGAGAGAGAGAGAGAGAGAGAGAGAGAGAGAGAGAGAGAGAGAAGTTGAGCTTATTTTTGTAATTGCTAAGCTCCTTGGTTCTAGAGTTCAGTTTTTGTATTTAATTTTTAAATTTCATAAAAATGAGGTATCTCCCCTGATATTTGTAAATAATACAAGGAAGGCAGGGTATGCCTTACTTCTACTCTTTGTAATTTTTAGATCAAGAAACTTTGAATAAAAATCACTGATTTTAAATGGAGACATTGGTAGCAGCTATAACTTTAAACCTTGCTTTTCTCCTCTGTACATACTTAGGCTGTGGCTTCAAGTTGCTGGTCGGTGCTGAAACAGAAAAGGCAGCAGATGAAGGTAAACTGGCCATGCCCTAGATTCCTGCCTAGTTCACTGTCTGTTGCTGTGAGAATAGCCGAGACTGGGTGACTGATAGGGACCACACAGTGCGGCTCCGGCATCCACATCCACTGCCTGCAGCCCTGATGGGCTTTGTGCTGTGCAGCACCCGCAGAGCAGGCAGGCCTATGTAAAGAGGGCCATCAAGGGCAGGCTTGCTCTATAACTCTGCCCTCACAGTGGCTTGTCCACCCCCAGAGTGGTGGCTTACTTGGTTAGAGCACTGATAAACCCGGAGGTACGACATCTGTGATGGACGTGTCTTCCCCTGTACCTTCTAGTCCATCCTACCCACAGAGCACTGCTCTCTGTGCACGGCTGTGGTGAGGTGGGTGAAGTCTGAAGTGAGACTGCCTGGCTTGAGGCGCCACTAACTCTCTGTGACCTTGGTTAGTTGCTTAATCTCTCTGCCTTGATGTCTTCATCTTTGAGGAAGAAGATAATGCCAATATTTACTGTATACAATATTTAAAAGATTCGGTGCAAAGTGCTAAGTGCTAAACTGTCTCTCGGCAGTCTTCAGTTCAGTCCCAGCTATTGCTCTGTTGTTACCCAGTGGCCTGTGCTGTTTCTACCCCACCCATACTTCTCAGTCTAACAGTTTGTAGCACGGAGCCTGGAGGGCCGACGTGGAGGTCTCTACAGTGTGCTGCTCCCAGCTTCCCCGGAGGTGTTGCCGGAAGTCGTTTGGGGACTCCATCTGAACAATTCTAGCTTAAAATTATTCCAGAAAGCTATACTATGTTTGTCTTTCTCTGGGAGTGGTATGAGCTTGTGTGGATGTTTGTGGTGAGCGGGTGGATGATCGTGTGTGTGTGTGTGTGTGTGTGTGTGTGTGTGTGTGTGTGTCTGTGTGTGAGCATGCGCATGTGCGTGTGTGCTTCTTCACATGTGTGGGTGCAGGAGTGTACACAGGACTCCTATGGAAGCTAACGAACAGCATCTGGGGATCAGTCTACACCTTTCCTCCTCTTCTGGGACAGTATCTTTCTGCTGCTGTGTGAGCCAGGCCCGCTGAAGAGTCTCCTGTGCCTTCTTGTCACCTCTCTCCCACCAGGGACATATTGGCATTACAGATGCTTGTGCCATGTGTCTGACTTTTACGTAGGTTCTAAAGATCTGAATTTAGGTTGTCAGTCTTGCATAACAAGATCTTTACACACTAAGCCAAAACAAACAAGTAAAACTCACCTCAATGGAAAGCTTCACCAGTTGAAACAATCAGGGAGAGAACATCAAAACAAGAGAAAGTCGACTTGGGGCAGAAAGGGTTTCTTTGGCTTACACTTCCGTATTACAGTGCAGCATCCAGGAAATTCAGGACAGGAACCTGGAGGCAGGTGCTGAAGAAGAAGCTTTGGAGGAACGTTGTTAGCTGGCTTGTTCTTCGTGGCTCACTCAGGTTGCTTTCTTATATCATCCAGGACCACTTGTCCAGAGATGGTACCACTTGTAGTGACCAACCCTCCCCCCCATAACAGTCATTAGCCAAGAAAGTGCCCTTCAGACTTGCCTACAGGCAGGCAGTCTGATGGAGGAGTCCCTCAGACTCCTAAGGACATAGCTTTAAAACCTACACTGCACTAAACTGGAAAGTCTGTTATCAGTGAGCATAGAGACCTACCTCAAATGCAAACACATGCGCCAGGATTTCACCAGTCAGTCACATGACCAAGTTTAGTCATAGTGACTCTCTTAACTAAAGATTGGAGTTCAGTAAGAACAGTTCAGTGCTTTGTGTGTGTATTTATGTATTAAAGACCGGGTCTCCTAAAGCACAGGCTGGTCAGGACTAAGTTGCCAGCCTTGAATTCTTGGTCCTCCTGCTACCACTTCTGTGCTGTGTTCCCCCACACCTGGTTTATAGGGTGCTGGGTTTCAAACCCACAGTTTTGTGCACGCCTGGCAACATACTATCTCCTGACCTAATCCCAAGGCCTAATGCTTAATCATTTAGTGCTTAATTGCTTAAAACCCATTTAAAAGGGAGGTTTTTTTTTAGGTCACTACAGTTGAGTAAGACTTTCAAATCATGAAAATAACAGTGAGCACAATGCCCCTAAAAGTTACATGGAAGAGCACGGTACCGATGTTAGAATTTCACTGCCGCATGACACTTTTAGGAAAGAGAAGTTAAATACAAACCTCAGGTGCTCTGTGGTGGTTTGACTGAGATTGGCCCCTGGAGGCTCATATTGCATGCTTAGTCCTCGTTGATGAACTGTTTGGGAAGGATAGGAGGTGTGGCCTTGTTGGAAGAGGTGTTCCCAGAATTTTAAAAAATCTGAAATTTTTCTGGCCCGAACCCCTGGTAAGGAAGACTCAAAATGTATTTTTATGAGGTGAATTTGCCTTTTAGGAAGTGTTTCTTATCTGAAACTGCAGGCTGGAGTATGAACCCCATACAAAACCCTCTGACTCCTAGGCACTGTTAAGTGTATTAATTTTCCCAGCTGGCTCGTTATGGAACCTTGGTCTGCTCCCAAACACTGCTGCCCGCACAATGGCCAGCGGTTTGTGTTTCATTAATAGAGAAAGTAAATTTAAGAAGCTAAAAATAACCGGATTCCCTTTTGCTTTCCAACAGATCTCAGATGGATTTTTTGCCCATTTTTATGCCATTTGTGAGCATGTAAGCCCTGTGTTAGCCTGGGGCTTCTTGGGCCCTAGGAATTCTCTGTATGACTTGTGTTGCTTCTTTAAGGTATGTTCAGCCATTGAATCAAAGTTGTTTACTTCTGTTTACTGTATATGAAGTTATGAAAATCACCGAGCCTCTGTATTTAAGTGCCAGTATTAAATTGGTTTCATTTTTAATACGAATGTTAATGTACTGGACCAGTGCCTTAGAGAGCAGACACCCCGCTCTGGATTCCACATGTCCCCTGACTGTGTTCACTCTCCCTGTTAGGGTCATGAACAGCGTTGCCATGTTACAGCGGCGCCTGTGTGATGCGGTGCAAAACTAAGTTCTGCACAAGTGATATGAATGTTGAAATCCAAGTTATAAGAAATCACATGGGAATTTAAAGTGTGTCCTCATGTCAGAAGTTGGTGTTTGCCAAAACATTTGTTAGAGCTCACTGCAAAATGTTCCGGCTGGCAAAGTGCCAGGGAAAACCTCTCTGCTGGGCTGTGTTGCAGTGGCTCAGTCTCCAGAGACAATTAGATGAGCGTAAATTTGAGAGCTTGCACGCCTCATGGTGCTGGGAATTGTTTGAGTTTTTGTTTGCTTTAGTAATACAGTGTTTGTATAATGATTTAGGAAGTGTTTATCTTACTGTCGTTTGGAAATCATGACTTTGTTTCTAGTCTACTTAGCCTTCCAGCTGTGAAGGGTGTGTTGCAGTGGGAAGAGTGGAGTTGGTTAGATGGTCTTGAGTCCTCCGACTCCCGCCCCCTTGCTAGCTCTAGACCGGGGCAGTAGGATGCTGCTGGCCTACAACCCGCAGTGACTCAGTGATAGCCCCTAGCATGTCTTAGCACGCGGTTCCTTGAGAAGGAATAGTTGATGTCGCTGGGTTTTCTCTTTGCAGTTCACTCTCCCATCACTTCAGAGTAGCTGAGGTTTAGGATTTAACAGTCTACAGCTCACATTAAATGTTCTTCTGTGTGAGTTAATTCACTGAAATGGAACTCTTCAAGGCCTGCCACTGACTGTAGACATGAAGCTATTATTTTTCATTTATGCTTTTTTAACAGAAAAATACACATTTAAAAGTATTGTGATTATTGAGAGTAGTTCCTTTTCCCATGCCTGTGTGGCCCAGGCAGCTGAGAGGAAAGGCTGGTAAACAGCCCTCACAGTTACACAGTGCTTGGGTGCTTCTCATGGTACCTCTTTTGCTCACTGTGCCAGCTCTGTGTAGTAAGCAGGACGTGATGGTGCACATTTTTAATCCCAGCACTTGGGAGGCAGAGGCAGGTAGATCTCTGAGTTTGAGGCCAGCCTGGTCTACAAACTTCCAGGACAGACAGAGAAGACATGACTTTGGCGGGGGGAGGAAAAAAGAAAAAGGCAAACAAATGAAAAACAGAACAAGTAGTATTTGCCCAAATTTTGCAGACATAGAAAACAACAATCAAAATGATTAAACAGCTTGTTCAATGTTCTTTCCCCATGAGGTGTGAAACTAAGAACTGAGGTGTCTAACCCCTGGCTCAGTGTCTGCTTCAGTATTAGCAATTCATGGATGTAACAAATGGTGGTTTAATAAATACCAATTTCTTGTTTATTCACTTTTCAGAATCAAGTTCTTTTCTTTCTCAAAGACATCTTTGACTTTGAGAAGGTGCGCTATTCGAGCATAGACGCCTTGGCAGAGGACCTCATGCACTTGCTCATCCGCCGCACAGAACTGCTAGTTGCCTGTCTGGGCGCGGACACCCTAAGGCATGCCACCGCCTGTACTAGTGGACACCACCATGCTGTGCCCACCCCGCTGTTAGAAGCCAAAGTACAATGAGTACCAGAAGAGGTGTGAGCGCTGTCTGGTTGTGAGGTGTGCCTCAGGAGCCACAGAATTGACGCTGCGGACTCAAGGAGGGAGAAAGTCTCAAAGAATGGGTGTTGCACTGTACTTCTGCAGAAATTCTGTCATTGAACCCATGTGCGATATGTCCAGGGCGACTCTTTTCATAATCTTAGGTAATAATTTGAGTTGTGAAACGTTGCATAATTTGTGTCTGTTGCTTGAACTGCAGCCAGTACATAGGGGTTCATTAATTGTCTCCACACTGTCTGGAATGTCCAGTGTCGCTCTCAAAATATGCCTCAATGCTTTGCACCCTGAAAATACACTAGCCCAAGAGCACTGTGGTTCACGTGTGCAGGAGTTTATGACTTCTAGAGTCAACATATCTAACTTTGCCTGAAGCGTGTTCTTACTTCACTAAACTGTTACTTCTTAGTTTAGTCAAATGTAGACAATCGTGGTGTTTAGCTGTGCTGTTTGCCTTATTGCTTGTATATTTGCTTTGTATTTGAATCAAAGGAATTGTAAGCACCAGGGATTGGTGTACAGAACTAAAATGGAGGAGGCCGGAAGTCCAGAGACTGCAGCTTGTGGAGGACCCACTGCTGTCTGCCGAGGTGTGATACCCCCAAGGGGTTTTATCTTTTTATAAATTGGTGAATATTAGATTTAAAAATATAATCTATTTACAAAGAAAAAATAAATAATATCCTCTTTTAAATGAAACTATGAACTTAAGGTGTTAAACCTAGTAGAATCAAATAACTTCTTTCTCTGTCCACAAAACAAACCTAATTCCCCCAGAGAGAGCGCAGCACCCTGGTGCCCAAGATTTAAAAATACTAGTTCTCTGAGCTTGTGTTTTAAAGGCCTTTTCCTCTCAGAAATTGAACACAAATATTTTAAATGATATGGGAATATATTTTGTCTCCTTAAGATAAACATATGAGGGGCTGGAGAGATGGCTCAGTGGTTAAGAGCACTGGCTGCTCTTCCAGAGGTTCTGAGTTCAATTCCCAGCAACCACATGGTGGCTCACAACCATCTGTAATGAGATCTGGCGTCCTCTTCTGGTGTACGGGCATACATGGAGGCAGAATGTTGTATACATAAGAAATAAATAAATAAATCTTTAAAAAAAAAGATAAACATATGAACAAGTGGCAAATCATATTACATATTTTCAAGCCTCATGAATTTTGCTGTGAGATCATGTCCCACTTGCTCATTGGATCAGTCTGTTGACTTGAAGTCCTAGAGTGGACTGCGTTCGTTTTCAGAGTGAGTTATACAGAAAGATCTGAAATGCGTTCTTTAAAATGCATTTTTAGATTAAAGTGCCTAGATTAAGGTTAATGATAAGAAAAGATAAAAAAATAAGTTTAACTTTTTTAAGCCTTTATATATCCATGATAGTTATGTACAGTAATCCTAAGTTGTAAAGTGTTGGCTTGTGCCATTAGCGTGTCTAGGCTTTCAGCGCCTTGCCGCCTTCTGCATCACTTTTTACTCCCCTAATTACCTGTTTGTGATTCTCACCAATGACGAGTACCAAGTGCATTCTGCCCTGCTTCCCTTTGTACGTACTCTAGCTGTATCTACCTTCCGAGATGTCAGCAGATGCAAGTGACCCCGTGCGCGTGCCTACACATGCCGGTTGCCACATAAGCAAGACAGTTATGGATTGTATTAGTTAGCTCACTGGAGAGCTAGATGTTTTATACCGTGAGATAATCGTGGGCCATGGCCTTTCCTAAAAGCGTTTGATTTCTCCCTGCTTTTAAATTTCATTTAAAAACAATAAATTGCCCATCTTCAAGAAGGGCTTGGTTTGGCTGGGAGGCGGTAGTGCACACCTTTAACCCCAGCACTCAGGAGGTAGAGGCAGATGGTCTTTGTGAGTTTGAGGCCAGCCAGGACTACACAGAGAAATCCTGTCTCAAAAAAATGAAAAGAAAGAAAGGGTTGGTTTGTCCAACTGAAGTACTTAAATTTGATTAGTTTCTGGTGAGCTAATTAACCGGCACACTCACTAGATACTTTCTTTGTGGCCTTTGACAAAAGAGATAATAATGACCTAGAAAGATTTGGGGGTAATAAATATAGAAGAAAACTCTTTTGGGGGATCAGGGTTGGGGGGTGGGGTAACTTTTTAAAGGAAAATGTCTTTTTAAACAACATCTCTGACTTGACTGTTGAAAATACTTAAGATACACACTAGTTTTCATTTGCCTTAAAATTAAACAGAGTAGCAATGCTTTACAAAATAAAAATAAAACAAAAGACCAGACTAAGCTAGAGCCTGGGGCAGGGGCAGTTAGTGGGACTCATGGCATTAACTGAAGGTCGCCTGCCGTAGCCTCCTCATGCTGGGTGTAAGAGGACAGAGTTAATCCGAAGAAAAATCTTCCAGAGAAAAAGGGGAAATATTCAGTTGATTTATTTTTCCTTTGTTTCTCTTTGTTCTTGTTCAGCTAAAAGGGTTATCCTTCCTTACCGGAGGTTAAAACTATGTTCAAGAAAGCTTTCTCTTCTGTTAAAGTCGTCTCCAAAGACCTGTGTCTGTCTGCTGGAGGAATACTTACCGTTTGTATCTGTCCACTGTGATTATTGACCTGTTGAGTTAACTGGGTATAAAAATGTATTTACAAATGTCTCCTTGCTTTAAGATGAGTGTTTCTTCCTTCAGTCCCCGCAGTTAGCCTAGGGCTGAGAGCAGCAAAGCTGACAAAGTGGAGGTGAGCACCCGTGACCTGTCGCGATACCCGTGACCTGTCGCGATACCCGTGACCTGTCGCGATACCCGTGACCTGTCGCGATACCCGTGACCTGTCGCGATCAGAGCTGTAAGTTATGTTCAGAACTCGTTTTTACCTTTAATGTGAACATGGATTCAGAAATTAATTGAACTGTAATTTCAAACTGACTATAAGGATTAGACTAAGTTGAAATCTATAAATTTTTTAACCAACAAATATGTATGAGAGACATAAGAGTTTATATAACCTGCGGTAAATGGACATATAAAACACTTGGTTCCTAATGATGCCTGGCTGATGTCAGCACATCTGTTTCTTAGTGTAGGAACTGGACTCATTCGTTTGTGTAAGAGTAAACCACCGCCGGAGCAGCCAGCAGCACTGGCCCCATGCAGGCGCTAGGATGGGCATGTCTTTGTTCTGGCCAGTAAAAAAGTGACGGTGTCTTGGTGACGCGCTAGCTGCCTTAAGTAACGTTTGATACAACTGTGAGGCCACTGTGGCCTCGGTAGGCTGCACTTTGACATAGGCCACATCTGGAGGCCGAAACAGAGGACTCTGGATGCACTGAGATCAAGTGTAACATATTACCAAATATCTGTATGTGCTAATGTGGAAATAAAGTAGTATTGCCATGAATAAAGTCCCAGCATCATGTTTTTGCTTAAAGTGTTTCAATGAACAAAGCCTTCAAGAGTATAAGCTCCTGGGCTGGTATGACCGCGTTATCCCTCACCGTCAGTGGGTCTGTTTCCAGGGCTCAGAGAATCTTAGGTGAGCGCTCCACCACTGAGATACTCACCAAGCTCCTGGATTTTCAAGGTTCTTCAGTTTGTCTGTCTGTCTGTCTAAGAGAGTCTGATGTAGCTCAAGCTGGCTTTCAACCCTGGATTCTCTTGCCTCGACCTCCCAAGCACCAGGATTACAGGCATGCACGACCATTCCTTTTTTATATAACTTGTTAAATATATGAACTGAAATGTATTATTTAGTGACCAGGTCACACAGGCATAAGCAGATATGTGTGGTGGGGGCAGGGTCCCACGCTGGCTCTGAGGGCTCACGTGGTCCCTCCCTCGTGTCATCTGGCTTAGTCTTTGTCAGCCTGTGTGTCCTCTTTGCTTCTCCTGGCTAAGCTTAGGTTTTGGCACTTGAAAAATCTTACAGAATTCTTTTTTGTTTTGTTGTTTTTGTTTGTTTGCTATTGTTTTTATTGTGAGACATGGTTTCCCTGTGTAGCAGCGGCTGTCCTGGAACTCAGAGATCCACCTGCCTCTGACTCCCGAGTGCTGGGATTAAAGACACGCACATCTCGCAGACCTGTGGCATGTGATGAAGAAGCCCCTTGCGGTCCTCACCATGTCCGTCATTACTCCAGGTCACATCTCTAGCTGTGGTCTTGGTGACTGCTCTGCCCCTGCCTCTGCCCCGCTCTTCCCTTTGTGGGCCTCCCCTCAGGAGCTCTTGTCTCTGCCCCGCTCTTCCCTGTGTG